GAGCAAGTGGAGGGGGGTTTAGGGAATATGATAATATGAATATGACACTGTTGGGTTGGGAACCACTGCTATAATGTACTATGTTATCAAGTAATAATAAAACAAAGTATCAAAGCATCAAGGAATGATTTTATTTTCACTGTAAGTATTCATTTTCTACATTCTGTGACATAGCCACGTGAGCGCGTGGTCGGACCCGCACTGAGAATGTCGGGAAGCTGAGTATTCCAGAGCAAGGTGTGGCTTTGTGGAGTTGTATGGTACACACATTCCACGCGAAAAGAGTCTGTCTAGAAACGGGAAATCTGCCACAGATCCATGGTAACGTTTCAGGCGGAGGCGAATATAAACCTCTGTCGGGTTTGGGAAACCCTGGTGCCCGTTCAGACATCCCCGACCTCAAGCTCGAGCAACTCGCGCCGTTCTCTCATTCTTCTCTTTCTTTGCTCCTCAGTAGAACCTTCCCCCACCCCCTTCCTCTGCGTCACTCGAGGATTGTCAGGGCTGTGATTGACCAAACGCAGGGACTCCACCTCTTCCATTGGTCCCTCGATACGTCAATCACGGTCACTTTAGTGACTAGTGTGGGAGTTCCCTGGAGTCGGAGATGGAAGGAAAAAGGCTTTTATCAGGCGGAATGAAGGTAAGAAATATGTTTTATATCCCTCTCTTATACAAGGTAGAGAGGGGACTGAGTCGTTACGAACCTGGAGTTTTAGCTTATGATGAAAATGAGACATAATGTGTCGTTGGAAAAAAAAATTACTTAAAGTCAACATGAGTCTTGATAATACATTTTTTATATGCAGTTATAGAAGCACGAGAAGGCGCTGAGAGCTCCAGAGTCCTGTTTCTATCTGTCTAGTACATGCGTGTGTTTTGGGTTCAAGATGAAGGTTTATTATTTAACTACATATTAGAGCTACATATGCTGGCTTTCAGTTGCAGAAACATGATGCTACTTGATGAATAGCATTGTGTGTGTGTGTGTGTGTGTTACCTGTGGGCTAGTGTCTGTCAAATATCCGTCCCTACAAACTATTCCAGGAGTGAGCTAATATGTTTTAATATTCTAGATATGCCATTTAAAGCGTCCATCTCCCTGTATCCTAATTATTCAAGTTGGTCTGGATTCAAAGCCTCCCCCATCTCTGTTTCTGTTGCTATGGAAACCCCCCACCCCATCCCTCTCCAGCTCTTCATCTCTTTCCATCTATATTTATAGTAGCCTATATTTGCCAGAGGTAGAGCTAAATGGGGGCCATCTGCATGTAAAAAAAAACTCCCTGTAACATTTCAGAGAGTAGAGGCATGCATTAACTTAAAGTCTGTTTCCCAGGTGAAATGTGTCAGGCAGATGGGAAATGCTATTTTTTAGCCAGATCTCCCACCCCTACAAGTATGTCTTATGGAACTGAAAAAGACCACATAACCTGAAAACTGCATTACAGGAGGATCTGTAAGTACAAACCACCTTTCAAATCAGTTTGAAGTAGATTTGTGCAAGACAGATCATGTTACATCTCTTCTCTTTACCCAACATATAATTCTTTATCTGTAATCATAACTTTGCTAAAATAAAGTCCTAAAGTCTTCTTGATCATCGGAAAATAATTCAAGAAGAGATGAATCCCAAATTAAAAGACTAGAGCTGATGTTATTACATGTTATAATCCATTAACTACATTTAACTAGTGTAGACTACGAACCACTTTCAAAGCACATCACAGGTTTCAGATTGTTTTCCTACATTCCAGACTGTTGTATGATATGTAAATCCATTGGCAGAGTCTTGAAACCTACTTGAGAAGTGATGAAACCCACTTCTTCTTCTCACCAAAGTAGGCCATTGTGTGCCAGTTTCTCTACTTGCAGGCATGATGCTGAAGTGGTTATGGTGGTGCGATAAGCCAATAATGTAATTATTGTGACAGGCCTAATCATATCCCTTGATTTAAGTCAATCACCACCCTTTGCCAGTGGTAGGGCTACATGTCATCAGTCACGACATACATCTGGTACATTTCAAGAAACAATACACTGGCAGTCAATAATGGAGAGGTAAGGGCTGTCCACACCAAGAAAGATAACTATAACAATAACTATAGATACAGAGTTTTAAAAATCTTTCTAATTGAAGTGGAGTCCACTCCACAACTATAACAACGATGACACTGGCGAATTATATCAGTGGGATCACTTTCAGAGTGATTTGATGAACAAGACTATGGTATAGAACATAATTAGCTGAGACATACTGCTAAACGATCTTTAGTGCTGATGGGGTCTGTGAAGTTGATTTGGTTCTTATTGAAACACCTGCCAATATTTCCTGGATTTTACCTGTATTCAAAGCAAACTCCCGGCGCCCCCCCTTTTTTATTTCTCCCGAGGAATAATTTGTTTACAATAAGGAATAATTGCAAACCTTCAATCTGTATGAATAATGATCATACACAGAGTTTGTCTACATACAATTTAACCTAACTGTCACCGTAACCTGGAAACTTGCAACTCGATTCAAGTGGCATGTGCAACGGGCCAACTACGGAAACTTAAAGGGCCATTGTGTAGGATTATTGGCATCTTGAGGTGTAATTGCAGATAGCAACTCCCTTGCTTCACCCTCCCCTTTCTAAGCACAAAGGAAAAACCCAAACGCCGCTGTCTAGAGTCAGTGTTTGGTTTGTCTGTTCTGGGCTATTGTAGAAACATGACAGTTCAATATGGCGACCCACTCCCTCTCTAGATAAAAACGAAAAACAGATTCTTATTTTCTTGTTCTCTTTTGAACTGTGACAGGTATGTACTGATGTTATTTTCTTTTTTTTTTTAAACCAAAATATGAATAAAATTTGCCTTCAGATGACTTCAAAAAACTCTTGTAACAGAGTGTTGGATTTTTTTAACTCTTTTCGTCTTTGAAGAACTTTGTGAACCCAGGTCTTCTGGTTCCCCTTATGTTTCTCTGTGCAAAGTACAGCAGAAACACCTCATCAGTAAGTGTATCCATTTTGGTGCACAGCAGGTGGTTGGGGCCAGTGTTTACAGAACATTATCATTCATCAGTGTGGATGCTCATACATTATCATTATAGTTATTGTTCTTGGTGTGGACAGTCCTGTACTCAGAAACAATATTGTATGACAAAACAGCAACATTAAACCTTTGATCTTTGATTTGATGAGTAGACCCCCCCCCCCATAACAATGTGCAATATTTCATTGCTCATATTAATATACATATTGTAT